TTCAGTCCCTATGATAAGATTAGATACAACTGGTGAGTTAAGATATTAAATGCTGTAGAAACAATAAATAGCTGGAAAGAAATAGAACCATAATTTTTGGCAAAAGCATAAGCAGTAAAGCAAATAATTTTACCTAGACTAACTTCCTAGGATGTGTTTATCACCTAACAACGAAGAAATAAAGAAAATTCAAAGTACAATATTATTTGAATTCATATGAAAAATAAACCAGAACGATTGGTTAGAAAAAGTTAACTTACTAATAGAATCAAGAGGTCGTGGTCTCCCAGATTTCAAAATCACTTAATATATTTAACAATCAATTTAACTTGCAAGATCCTTTCTCCTGATCATAACTGTGCTCTGTTCTACAATTACACCATAGGAAGTGGACTAAAATATTTCCTTGAAAAACCGAAATTACAAGAAGTCAAATTCCAAGACCCACCATTATATTTAAAGTCTTAACAGATATTGAAAGAAAAGTATCCTAAGTTAATATATGCAGTGATAGTTCAGAAGATATATGCCAAACACCCCTGGTTACCCCTGAAATTGACGAAGAAAATTCACAGTTAAACTGGAAACACACATGGATGGCAGTAAACAAAAAAATAAAAACTGACGGTAAAAGATGAGATCTAAATTTTTGAGATAGCCCATAATATTATGAATATCCATGAAAGTCTTCACACATATAAAACTGATATCTAGTAGTGTATGTCCATACTGCCACTGCACAGAGACAGTAAAGCATGCCTTCTTTAATTGTTAGATCGCTCAGTTATATTTTGAAAATTAAACAATTCTAAATCTAATTGACTTGTTATTAATTATTAAAATGGGATCAGAATCTTCAATGAGATGTTAAACTTTAAGATTTGGATGTAGGCCGGGGGATTTTGGATTTTTGTTGCAGCTCTAATTCGGATTTCATTTTCAGAAACATTTAAAACAGAAGAGAAGGTAGAACATAATAATTATTGATTGGAGACTTCGGGCAACATATCATTTGTTACCCTCATTATGAGTCAATAACTGTTCAATGTTAGTCGAATTATTATTTCAAACAGACTGATTTTATTAGATGAAGTCTGAAAAAATAACAAGCATCTTAAGCTAGAACATTTGATAAATATTTTTACTATTCAAACATACTACGAAATAAAACTAATAATTTATGTAAAAAATGCACACTTTTCCAATTACCGTGCAGTTAATTAATTTGAAGATAGAGACAAAATTTTGTGTTGTTTTTTTAACTGTCGCACCTAATAGGCCCATACAAAGTTTTCTAGAAACAAAACATTTGTGTCGTGGAAAAGACTGATTACGACATGTCTGAATAAGGTAAAAGTTTTATACAACAATGGATTTTAATATCACATAATTATCATGCTTTACGAGTTGTAAGTTTTTGAACTAAAGATATTACTTTGACTTATAAGTTACATTTAAAGTAATGGTGAATCGCGCTGTTAAAATCGGAATTTTAATCTAAGCTGTTTCCTGGTATTTAACATTGGCCTTAGGAAATCATTCAAACAGTATCATAACTAATACATTCTGTTTTACGAGGACATGACTAAATGTCTTGTATTAAGGGGTTTTTCTTTTAAAATCGCATAAAATATTTTAAAGCATATGTTTAAAAAGTATGTGCATTAATGCTTAATGTGTACTTATTGCATATATATATAAACATATATATTTTCTTTGTGCATAAGTGTGAAAATTTAGATACTATATTTCTAAGGTACGTATATATGTAGGCTTGGCTTGGATACGGGTTAAATAATAGTTACTCTTCGCCCTGCTGCCGAATTACTATCACTCCTTCCATTTTTTTCTCAGAAGAAACTTTTACAGACTTGTTACAAGACTTTCGAATTTGGTCAATCAGTGGAGTCAACAGATGATGGCAGTGCAACAGTGACACACCCAGCCACATTCCCAAATATCCTCCCAAGTTGCTGAAGAGTTCTATAAACTGTACATTGAGAAAAACAACAACAATTAATTAACTTCCAAACTTTAAGGTAAAACGGCCATTAACTGCCTAATATTGTAAAATTGCTTGGTCTGTCATACATCAGGAATAATAATAAATAGATTTGAAATCAAATAAGAAATATCCGTAAGGCAGTGAAACAGACGATTAAGAATCAGCACTTTAATTCTGAGTTATTTCCATCTGGTAAGCTTTCATATAACTTTTGATTTTTCAGTTCAGCATTCAACATTAATAACTCTTTGCTTCGTAGTTAAAGAAATGAAACATCAAAATGGCTTACACAGTCATATTTAGTATTAAGTCAAATAGTATTTATAATTTAGTCTATATCTTAATTCATTCTACAATATGTAAATATTAAGTACTTAATGTATTTGTATTTTATTATAGTTCTTAACCTTCACTTACTTCATATTTTGGACGTTGAGTATAGACAAATTGCTGGTCAAAACGCATGTGTATTTGGATTTTCACTAAGCTTTTCCTGTAAATATACAACATTAAACTTTTAAGGGGTTCTATTACATCAAAAATTTAACACGACTTTTAGTGCAGAGTTTAATAATTGTTTTCGTATTGAAATAAATAGAAAATAACATGAAATGTGGCGAAACTTGAACGAGCTTGTTTAAGAAAGTATATACTGGTTGGTCCAAAATTGTCTTTCCTATTTTAAAATTCAATAATTAAACAAGTAAAGAAATACAACCATGCAATTTTCAATATCCTCTATCCCAACTCAAACAGTTTTTTTTTGTGATGTTTGTTTTTCATTCCATTGAGTAGTGTTACCCAGTAAAATGGCAACCGTGTAAGAAAAGGCTCAATGCGGTCGATTGGTTAGGATGGGGTAATTCTGTGGTCTCCACATTCGCCAGACATCACTCCACTAGACTTCTTTCTTTTTTGGAGGCTTATTAAGAACATCGTGTATCGCACACCACGGAGCTAAAGACCAGGATAACGGATGCCATCACCACTGTAAGTGTGGGCATGTTACAGCGAAGGTGGACTGAAATCGAATATTGGTTAGACGTGCTGAGAGCCTTCAATGGTTCACACGTAGAAGTCTACTGACATGTTAATAAAAACTGTTTGAGTTCGGTTACAAGATGTTGAAAACTGAATGGTTGTATTTCCTTAGTTAGTTAATTATTAAATTTTAAAATAGAAAAATAATTTGGGCCACTCTGTATATTATAATACATCTTTTTTAACTTGTTCAATGTGAGTTTTCAGTAATTACAGAAGCAGTTTTTTTACAAAGCCTTGAAAACTAATACAAATTGCCATTGTGAATAATATACCGAAAACTAACAGCTACAATAATTGAAGCCTATAAATGTCTATGTAATCATGTTTTCACGCTATTTTTACTTTTGTACATGTTCGCAATGAAGCTGAATATAATGTAATTAACATTATTTACGCAGTTTAAAGTTATTTCGCCTTAATAAAAATTTAAATACTTACAAAAATATTTTTATAATCCTAGTCATTTTTGTGTGATTGTAAAATAATAACTCATAAAAATATATAAGGATTTAATTATTTTTGAAAAAATTTCATAAAACAATACCTTACATGTTTTACCTAAAGTATAAAAATTTTTTCTTAGTCACATATGTTTTTGCAAATAATGCAATATTCGAAAGGTGCAAATACAGAATATGTAAGTGGCATAAAATCAATGTTTTTAATTGATTCGGATAAAAATAAAATGTTTGTATTGAAAAGTTAGCTGGTTTGATATATTTATTTCATTAAAATAAGTATGATGAAACAGATATTTACGGGATATTTGTAGCAATAGTGATAATTTTATTTTCATCGATAATTTTTATTAGATGTCCTTACACAAAGTATATGTATATACACCTTGAAAAAAGTTAAGCACCCCCAAATATTTTTCAGGATTGCTTATTGAAAATAAGGTTTAATTTTCATG